TCTCCCATTCTTTTTGTTACCTTTTAGTTTTGCTTATTGTTTCCTTTGCTGTGCAGAAGATTCTTATATTGATGAGGTCCCAGTAGTTCATTTTTGCTTTGGTTTTCCTTGCCTTCGGCGACCTGTGGAGTAAGAAGTTGCTGCGGCCGAAGTCAAAGAGATTTTTGTCTGCTTTTTCCTCTAGGATTTTGATGGCTTCCTGTCTTATGTTTAGATCTTTCATCCATTTTGAGTTTATTTTTGTGTATGGTGTAAGAAAGTAGTCAAGGTTCTTTTTTCTGCATGTTGCTGTCCATTTTTCCCAGCACTTTTTACTGAAGAGGCTGTTTTTATTCCATTGGATATTCATTCTTTCCTGCTTTGTCAAAGATTAGTTGGCCATACATTTGTGGGTCCATTTCTGGGTTCTCTCTTCTGTTCTATTGATCTGAGTGTCTGTTTTTGTGCCAGTACCATATTGTCTTGATACAGCTTTGCAGCACATCTTGAGGTCCCAGGTTGTGATGCCTCCAGCTTTGGTTTTCTTTTTCAGGATTGCTCTGGCTATTCAAGGTCTTTTCTGGTCCCATACAAATTTTAGGATTATTTGTTCTAGCTCTGTGAAGAATGCTGGTGTTGTTTTGATAGGGATTGCTTTGAATATGTAGATTGCTTTGGGTAGTATTGACATTTTAACAATATTCTTCCAATCCACGAGCATGGAATATTTTTCTATTTTTTTTGTGTCTTCTTCAGCTTCTTTCATAAGCTTTCTATAGTTTTCAGTGTATAGATTTTTCACCTCTTTGGTTACATTTATTCCTAGATATTTTATGGTTTTTGGTGCAATTGTAAATGGGATTGATTCTTTGATTTCACTTTCTGTTACTTTATTATTGGTTTAAAGGAATGCAACCAATTTCTGCGCATTGATTTTATATCTTGCAACTTCGCTGAATTAATGGATCAGTTTTAGCAGTTTTTTGGTGGAATCTTTTGGGTTTTCCATATAGAGTATCACATCATCTGCGAAGAGTGAAAGCTTGACTTCCTCCTTGCCAATTTGGATGCCTTTTATTCCTTTGTGTTGTCTGATTGCTGAGGCTAGGACTTCCAGTACTATGCTGAAAAACAGTGGCGAGAGTGGATATTCCTGTTGAGTTCCTGACCTCAGGGGGAAAGCTCTCAGTTTTTCTACATTGAAGATGATATTAACATTGGATTTTTCATATATGGCTTTTATGATCTTAAGGTATGGTCCTTCTATCCCTACTTCCTTGAGTTTTTTTTTTTTTAATCAAGAAACGATGCTATATTTTGTCAAATGCTTTCTCTGCATCTATTGAAAGGATCATGTGGTTCTTATCCTTTCTTTTATTAATGTGATGTATCACTTTGATATGTGGATATTGAACCAGTTCTGCATCTCAGGTATAAATCCCACTTGATCATGGTAAATAATTCCTTTAATTGTATTTCACTAATTATTAATGAAGCTGAGCATATATTTATTTATTGGCCATACATATTTTGTCTTCTGTGACAAATATGTCCTTGCTTCTGTCTTTCACCCATGTTTCTATAATATTAACATTCTCTTGTGGATTCCTTTACATTTTTTAAACATACATTCTCATATGTAAGCCAATTTGACAATAAATTATATTAAAAAATAAGTAAATAAACATACATTGTCAATTATGACCTTTTTCTAACAGATAAATTATTCAGTATTTTGTCAAATGTCAAATTTTGTCAAATAGTTTTCTATTGATATATTTTTTTTTTTTTTTTTTAATGTTTTATTTATTTCTAGGAGAGAGAGAGAGAGAGTGTGTGAGCAGGGGAGGGCCAGAGAGAGAGGGAGTCACAGACTGAAACAGGCTCCAGGCTCCAAGCTGGCAGCCAGCACAGAGCCCGACGCGGGGCTCGAACCCACGAACCATGAGATCATGACCTAAGCGAAAGTCGGACGCCCAACCGACTAAGCCACCCAGGCGCCCCTCTATTGATATATTTCTAAGCTACAAAGCTTAGTAGCTTGAAACACACATTTATTATCTCCAGGTTTTCATGGGTTTGGAGTCTAGGCACAGCTTAGATAAATCATCCTTTCATAGGGTCTTAAGATGTCAGTTGTGGTGAGGCAGAATTCATTTCCTTGCAAATCCCCATTTTCTTTATAGCTTTTGGCTGGGGAATCCTCTTGACTCCCAGAGACTGCCTGCAGTTCTTTGCCTCCTGGCTCCATGGATAGTTTACAACATGCATGTTTCCTTGCTTCCAGGTCAATAGTAGTGTGTCTCCTTGCTTTGAATCTCTGACCCCTAGACCTAGATTTAAAGATCTGATGTTGGGGCACCTGGGTGACTCAGCTGATTGAGTGTCTGACTTTGGCTCAGGTCATGATCTCGTGGTTCATGGGTTCTAGCCCCGCATCGGGCTCTGTGCTGACAGCTAAGAGCCTGGAGCCTGCTTCTGTGTCTCCCTTTGTCTCTGCCCCTCCCCTGCTCGTGCTCTGTCTCTCAAAAATAAATAAACTTTAAAAAAATTAAATTTAAAAAATAATAAAGCTGTGATGTCAGGCCCACCCTGATAATCTCCCTGATTAACACCAAATCCATTGATTAGTAACCTATTCATGGAGGTGACATCCCATTATATTCATAGGTACTGCCATCATTCAGGGAGAGGGAATTGAACAAGGCATGTGTACCAGGAGACAGACAGAATACTGCCTTCCACACAGCACTTTTATCCTCCCAAACATGACACAGGCCTAAAATACACTTTACTTGTTTGGTACCTTCACCAGTCTTACTGTTATTGCCTCTAGTTTGTTTCGCCTTTTGTTATAAAGAAAAAAAATTATTTATATTTAACTATTAATTCAGTATTCATTGTTAGTATCAAAAATCACTATAATTATTCAATTCAATCAAGATGATCAAAGTTGCCATTACATTTTTTCTATAGCTATTGTTTTTAGTATCCTCTGTTTCCATTCAGATTTGCTTTCCTTTTTTAAAAAAATTTATTTATTTTTTTAATTTACATCCAAGTTAGTTAGCATATAGTGCAACAATGATTCCAGGAATAGATTCCTTAATGCCCCTTACTCATTTAGCTCATCCCCTCTCCCACAACCCCTCCAGTAACCCTCTGTTTGTTCTCCATATTTAAGAGTCTCTTATGTTTTTATCCCTCTCTCTGTTTTTATTCTTGCTTCCCTTCCCTTATGTGCATCTATTCTGTGTCTTTTCTGTGTCTTAAATTCCTCATATGAGTGAGGTCATATGATATTTGTTTTTCTCTAATTTCACTTAGCATAATACCCTCATGTTCCATCCACAGAGTTGCAAATGGCAAGATTTCATTCTTTTTGATTGCCAAATAATACTCCATTGTATATATATACCACATCTTCTTTATCCATTCATCCATCGATGGAACATTGGGGCTCTTTCCAAACTTTGGCTATTGTTGACAGTGCTGCTATAAACATCGGGGTGCGTGTGTCCCTTTGAAACAACATACCTGTATCCCTTGGATAAATACCTAGTAGTGCAGTTGCTGGATCGTAGGGTAGTTGTAGTTTTCATTTTTGAGGAACCTTCATACTGTTTTCCAGAGTGGCTGCACCAGTTTGCATTCCTACCAGCAGTGCAAAAGAGATCCTCTTTCTCCACATCCTCGCCAACATCTGTTGTTGTCTGAGTTGTTAACTTCAGCCATTCTGATAGGTGTGAGGTGGTATCTCATTGCAGTTTTGATTTGTATTTCTCTGATGATGAGTGCATATATTCTATCATTTATTCTTCACACAGGTCTGAAATTTATAATATCCCCCATTTTACACAGATGTTGAAGCTCAGAGAAGTCAAATAACTTGCCCTCAAATCACATAATAATAATTGAACTAGTATTCAAACTCATATTTCTGTGACTACACAATCTGTGATTTTTTTTTTTTTCCAAAGTGCATACTGCTTCCTTGATACGGGGATTTTTTTGTTTTTATAGATCTGGCCCAGCAACTCAAACGTGCAGCCAGATTTGGTTAATTCTCAGGCAAGAGTACTGCCCCTAAATGTATTTGGCAGATGATAATGTGCAGGTGAACATGGCTCTCAGCCACAAGGCTTCTGTGAGATTTATGGGGAGGTGTTCCCTTCACCTGTGGACCCTGCTGTCACCATAGCTTCCTGCTTCACTCAAGGATTCTGTGACCCATCACTGAACTGTTCATGAATAGACTGTAGTTTTCAAGGAAAGGAAGCATTAAGTTTTCTGGTGAGAATCTCTGTGCTGTTATTTCTTTCAGAGATATCAGAGAGCTTGTACATATCTAGGGAACCTGTCTACTGTTCCATTATGGAACAGCTCCTGTTGGGAAGCTTTTTTGTAATTCTAAACTGAGGAAAATGTCTCCTTAATAAAAGCTGATTTGTTTCATTAAAAAATATTTGAATTAGAAGGTGCTTAGTAAAGAACATTTGTAACTAAAAGACAAAAAAACTAATAGGAATTTAAATGGGCCCTAAGTCATGTTTCATATTTGTCTCATCCAGAAGTGCAAAGCATAAATTCTACCTTCTCCATAAATTTTCTTGCTTCAACATATCATACAAAACTGTACTTATTATCTTAATTCATTGTGTTCATGAATGGACTTCATTCACCCAATGAGATTGTAAGCTCTGTAAGAGCAGGTACCTAGTCTTAACATTTTTTTTTCCTGATTTTTGAGGCAATAATTCTTATCCTGAGACCTCTAAAAGTCTCATACATATAATTCATACAGTAAATGCTCACCAGAGGCCCTTATGAGATTGGAAAACAATTTTCATTTAATAAATATCATTTATTTAAAAAAACTTTGTAAACATCTGTCTTTCATGTTTAGTGAAAGGTTGGGAATTAGTGTTTGGTAATGTGTGGCCCAGTGTTACGTAATAATGATTATTAAACATAAAATCAGTTTATTGATGGAGAGTAATTAATGAGCTTTTTTGTTTTAGGAAATGTTGTGGGCAACTTGGGACATTCCTTCTTCAGTCAAAGTTTCCTTGGCAGTAAAGAACATGGTGGATTCTTATATGTGACATCTACCTACCAGTCACTGCAAGACCTGGTACTCCCAACCCCACCTTACTTGTTTGGGATTCTCATCCAGAAATGGGAAACTCCTTGGGCTAAAGTGTTTCCCATCCGACTAATGTTGAGGCTTGGAGCTGAATATCGGCGTAAGTAGTAAAGTAGCTTCTTTTACACTATATGACCAAAACATGATGACTCAATTAAGGCCTGAAATATTCAGATTCTTCCTTTTCCCCCATACCAGTGATATAGTTCAGCAGAAATCTTTTGAAATAGCTAAGCTAAATTTGGCCATTGTCTTTACTTATTTTGACTCTAAAGTGAAGAACTAAAAATCTCTAATGAGGGAATTAGTGATTATTTTTTACCTTGTAGACTTACTGGTTTTATATAGTTCATTGATAAATATATGTTCATCTTCAGAAAAAATTAATTGGAATTTAACAAGTAACTTTTTACAGTATAGTGAGCATTTTTTGGTAATTTTGTTGGAAAATAGGCAAATTGCATTTTACGTAGCATAATATGTACTGGAAACTAGTGGTATACAGATCACTCTTGGTAAAGTAAGCAGTAGAAGAGCTTTGTTCATGGTGGTAGCAGTACAAGTATAAGTTGTGAGGTTTTTTAAAGACATTAAGGCCTAAATGCAGGCTTTCTTTTTAACTTTATACCTTCACCTAATCAAACTTGCGTGGTCTAAGAATCAGACCATTTGAATAAGATTCTTAACTCTGTACTAGCTCTGTAACTCTGGGCAAGTGACTTGAGCTGTCTGTCTGTTTCCCCTCACCTGGAAAGAATAATACTTGCTTTTTATATTATGTAATGTTGTTAAGAGGATCAAATATGATAATGAAAACTTATTTTATAAACCATAAAACAGTATATTTTATGTCTTCTACAAGTCAACTTCATTCTTTCCCTTGCTCATTCAATAAGAATTTAATAAAGGCCTACCATTTAGAACAAATCCTGGGAATTCAGAAATAGCTAAGATACATTACAGGCTCTTAGAAACCTTTGTAAGAAAGACATACAGAAGTCATGATTATAGTAGTATATTGTGTTAAAACACATGCTCAAAGTTAAACAAAGTTCTTTTGGAGCTTCAAGGTGGAATCTAACTTCACCACAAATGAAGAAGTAGGATAAGAAACATTTCTTAGATCAAAGTGCTTCTGCACTGAATTGTGAAAGAGGCATTTGAATCAGCCAAATGAAGTAGAGAGAGGATTGTATGCAGAGGAAAGACCTTGTATATCTTCCTGTCTTATATGGCAGTTCACTCCATAGAGTTCAAGGAGTAAGCCAGTTAATAAGTCACCTCATGTTTGGCTTTTCTAAGGAATCTTCCTAGATCATGGTTGGGAGATATATAAGAATGAATACAGAAGACTTAGGAGAGGTTTGTTTCCTGGATCATATTAATTTAGTCTGAAGAAGAATGCTTCCTAAAACGTTATAGTTCATTTTTGAGAAAGCTGCATCAAAAGGCCTATTCTGGTCACCAGAATACTTACTTTGGTGTGGTTTGTAGAAGGCTCAGAATTCGTCTTTGATGCTAACATACTAAATACTTTTGAGCTTTAAATTAGATATGCTCTATAGAGTTATTAGTTACATTTTGAAAACTATGAACTATAATATCTCTTTTACCAAAATTTTAAGCTGTCAAGTTTAGTCTGATTATTTCTCATTTCCATAGTTTATCCATGCCCACTGTTCAGTGTCAGATTTCGGAAGCCATTGTTTGGAGAGACTGGACATACCATCATGAATCTTCTTGCAGTAAGTTGGGAATTTTTATTTACTTTTTTCTTACGGGGGTTGGTACAGGAGAAGGAAGAGAAGGATTTCATTTTTTGTTAACAGCCACACCCCTGCTGCTTCAGGCAGGTGAAGATTTATGCTGTAGGAAAAGAAAAACATATATTCTTTGTAAATTCTATGGAGCTTCTGAATGAAACAGTACAGGATTTCAGCCCTTCATTATACACTTAATATCTAAGTGATCTTGCAGGATTATTGTGAGGTAATGTACAATTAAAGCACCTAGCATTCTGTTTTGTTTTTATTTTAAGTTTGCCATCATAGAGGTTTCCTCTTTATCTGTAAAGCTTATTGTTTATAAAAGCTTATTGTTAGCCCAAGATTGGTCAGAGATTATGTTCAAATATCTCAAACCAATAAGTCATTCATCTTGTAGGATAGATCTGTGGATGGACTGGGATTCAAGCTTTATTCTTTTCCTTTCTGCCGGGCTCTCCCATGTTCCTTTGCACACGCACAGGCTCTGTTATCCAAAGATGTTGGTTGGCTTCAGCCCACTAAGGTCTCTGCTGTATGTGTGCACAGACTAAGGTCAATTCTGGGTATTTGGAGAATTTACGAAGCTCCGTATGGCTGTTTCACCTCCCAGAACTCCTAGTTAAATCTTTGGCTAATGTGCCTGCTCATTACTTACCCCAAACCTCAGTTTAGCTGAGCTGCTGACCCTCCCTTTTCACGAAATTACTGAGATTACCACTGTCGCTGACACCACTCCAAATCAAGTAAAATCCTGCAAGTAGCAGAGCTTGTTATTTTCTTTCTTTCTTTCTTTCTTTCTTTTTTTTTCTCAGAGCTTGTTATTTTCACAGACTACCTTGAACTACCTAAGAAGGCTAGGGCACAGCCCCAAGCAAGAAGATCACAGACTCAGCTCTACTGTTCTTGCTTCAAGTTCAGTAGTTTTCATGAATAAACACATCTCAGTGCCTTGTATGCTTTTAGTCTAATTCCAGAGCATTGTAATGATTGTTTTTTAAAAACCATTTACCCAGGGGCACCACGGTGGCTCAGTCAGTTAAGCATACAACTCTTGATTTCAGCTCAGGTCATGATCTCCACACTGACAGTGCAGAGCCTGCTTGGAATTCTCTCTCTGACCCTTCCCTATTTGTTCTTTCTTTCTTAAAATAAATAAGTAAACTTAAAAAAAAAAAAACCCATTTACCCAGCTTTTTAGTTGGCTTTTTTGGGGACTAGATTTATTTTCTCACTCTGTCTTGTAGTTGTAGTTTCAGTTATCTTTTAAAGAGATTTAAATAAATAATAAGTGAAACTCTTGTAGCTTTACTTATGTAGTTGCCATTTCCAGTGACCTTAATTCCTTTGTGTAAATCTGTATTTCCATCTGGTGTCATTTTCCTTCTGCCCGAAAGATTTCCTGTAACAATTCTTGTAGTGTGGGTCTGCTGGTGAGGAATTCAGCATTTTTATTTCTAACATCTTTATTTTACCTTCATATTTGAAAGATTTTTTTGCTGGATGTAGAATTCTAGGTTGACAGTTTTATTCTTTGAGTGTCTTAAAGATGAATAATAATTGCTCTACTGTTTCTTCTGGTTTGCATTGTTTCAGATGAGGACTTGATTTCCCCTTTTTGTTCCTCTCTACATAATGTTTTTTCTTTTCTGGTTGCTCTAAGATGTTTCTTTTTATCACTGGTTTTGAGCACTTTGATTATGTGCCTTGATATACTTTTTTTTTTTTTTTTTACGTTTCCTATACTTGGAGTTTGTTGAACTTCTTATTTTTGTGAGTTTATAATTTTCATCAAAGAACTCTTCTCTTCCCCTTCAAGGACTCTGTTATAGACATATTAGGCTCTTGGAATTGTTTCATAGCTCACTAATGTTCCTTTTTTTCTCCTCTATGTTTCATTTTGGACAGTTATTATTGTTGTGTCTTTAAGTTCAACAGTCTTATTTTGCGTTGTTAAAATGGTCCAATCCCACATTTTGGGGAGGTTATCTCAAATATTGTAATTTTATCTCTAGAAGATTGATTTAGGTCTTTTTCTATATACTCTTTGTACTTAATTTTTGAATTTCTGTAATATATAGTAACTACTATAATGTCCTTATTGGTAATTCTAACATCTCTATCAGTTCTGGCTCAGTTTCCGTTGATTAATTTTCCCTTTTTTTTAAGTTTATTTATTTATTTTAGAGAGAGAGAGAGAGTGAGCACATGCACAAGTGGAGGAGGGGCAGGGAGAGAGGGAGAAAGAGAATCCCAAGCAGACTCTATGCTGTCAGCACAGAGCCCATCACAAGGCTCCATCTCAGAAACCGTGAAATCATGACCTGAGCTGAGATCAAGAATTGGATGCTTAACTAATTGAGCCACCCAGGCGCCCCTTCCCCTCTTATTTTGTTGTATTTTCCTGCTGCTTTTGCATGCTTGGTATTTAAAAAAAAGTTTAAAAATTTTTTATGTTTATTTTTGAGGGAGAGAGAAAGAGAGAGCAAGTGTGAGCAGGGGAGGGGCAAAGAGAGAGAGGGAGACACACAGAATCTGAAGCAGGCTCTGGGCTCTGAGCTGACTCAGAGCCCGATGTAGGGCTCAAACTCACAAACCTTGAGATCATGACCTGAGCCAAAGTTGGATGCTTAACTGACTGAGCCACCCAGGCGCCCCTTGAAATTTTTTTTGATGTTTATTTATTTTTGAGAGAGAGAGTGAACAGGGGAGGGGCAGAGAGAAAGGGAGTCAGAGAATCCCAGAGGTCCCGTGCCATCAGCATAGAGCCCATGTGGGGCTGGAACTCAGGAACAGTGAGAGCATGACCCGAGTCGAAATCAACAGTTAGACACTTAACTGCCTGAGCCACCCAGGTGTCTCGATATTTTTAAATTTTTTATGGGGTGGCAAATATTATGATTTTACCTTAATGTGTGCTGAATATTTTTATAGTCTTATAAACTTGAGTTCTATTACCGGTAAGGCAGTTAATTTACCTAGAAATAGTTTGATCCTTTCAAGTCTTGCTTTTTAAGATTTGTAAGGTAGAAGATCCAAAATCTTGTTTACTGTAGTGCTGATTATTCCCCAGCACTAAGGCAAGACCCTTCTTAGTACTTGTAATGATTTTGGGCCCTATTTGGAATTAGGCCAAACTTCACAGGTTAGAGGCACAGTTCTTTTACCAGACTGTTGTTATTTTAGACACCAGGTTCAAGTTTAGGGATTCCCAAGCTACCCCTACTTTTGACTAACTGGATACAAATGTTAGCATTCCCACTACCTTCTCAGTTTTGATAATTCACTAGAATTATTCACGGAACTCAGCAAAGTATACTGTACTTATGATTACAGTTTTTTTTGTAGTAAAGGAAATACAAATCAGGGCCAGTGGAGAGACGAGTCACAGAGTACAGTCTGGGAGGGCCCCACCCAAGAAGCTTCCCTGCTGTTACATTGATACATAACAATATGCACAGAGTAAACACCTTAGCTTTTGTGTCCTGAGTTTTTATTGGAGTTTCCTTATTAGGAATAATGATTGAGTCATTGACCATGTGATTGAACTCCGTCTCTAGCCCCTCTGATATCATGTGCCTCAAAGCCACATCCTCTGATCACATGGCTGATCTTTCTAGGATGGCTAGCTCCCACTCTGGGTCATGTTGCTAGGATATGCTATCTAGGGACCCACTATGAGTTAGTAGATTAACATAGACTATCAGGGCCACCATTGAATAATAGACACTCCTGTCACTCAGGAAATTCCAAGGGTTTAGAGGCTACCTCTCAGGAACCAAGAGCAAAGTCCAGTGAAATTGTTTATTATATAATAATACTGTACCTAATGCTCATGGAATATAAGGTTTTCCTCTGTAGTTTTTAGGAGTAGGCACTATTCCCAGACCTGACCGTGTTCCTGATAATCATTTCAGGTAATTCTTTCACTGGCCTCAAGAAGTTTCCTCACACACATTTGCTAATCAGAACTCTACTGAATTCTGGAGTGAGACCCTCTATAAATGCTTAGAGTTCTCTGAAGTTTTTTCTTCTCTGATGCTCTGTTCTGTGAACTCTGGCTACTGTGGTTTTCTTGGAATCTTGGTTTTGTCTCTTCAATTCAGGAAATCTGTCAGCCTCTGCCTGGATTTCCCCTTCCTGCATCTGAGCTTGTAAACTCTCTGGAGGCATAACCTGTACAATCATAGAGCTCATCTTGTTTGCTTCCTGCCTTTTAGAGACCACTGTCCTTTGTTGCCTGAGATTCAGTGTCTTGAAAATCATTGTTTCATATGTTCTGTGCAGTTTTGGATTGTTTCATGCAGGAGGGTAAATCCAGTCCCCTTATCTCCATTTTGGCCTGAAGTGGAAATTTTATTTTTTAATTTATTTTTTATTTTTATAAGTAATCTCTGTCCCCAGTGTTGGGCTTGAACTTGTGACCCTGAGATCAAGAGTCACATGCTGTACCAACTGAGCCAGCTAGGCGCTCCCAGAAGTGGAAATTTTAAAATTATATTTTAATCTATAAGATCGCCCTCTCCTTCTCTATCTTCCTTTCTCTCTCCTCTCTCTCTCTCTCTCTCTCTCTCTCTCTCTGTCTCTGTCTGTTTCTTTCTCCCTCTCCATTCCCTCCTTCTACTTCAGTCTCCATCACTTTGTCACTCCTGGTAACTTTAGTTTTTAGTCACATTTTTGTCAAGGTAATTTTTTTAAGTTTAATTATTTTGAGAGAGAGAGAGAATGAGCAGGGGAGGGGCAGAGAGAGAGAGAGAATCCAAGCAAGCTCCCCACTGTCAGTGCAAAGCCTGATGCTGTGCTTGATCCCATGAACCGTAGGATCATGACCCAGGCCAAAATCAAGACTCAGGTACCTAACTGATTGAGCCACCTACGCACCCTGACGAGATAATTTTTTTTTACTGATTGTAATCTGCTTTGGGAAGAAAAGGGGATATTTATCCTGTAATCTGGCAACAGAAGCCTATGGATTTTATGCCTGTATCAGTTCATTTATACAAACATTTAGTGGAATACCTCCTGAAGTATCTTGTTCTCCATCTCCAGTGTTGGGGAGGAAAAATTTTTCTCTAGCTTTCAAAGATTCTTCTAGCTGATCTACGAATTAAATTGACACAAGACAGATTAACTGGAGAAAATTGAATTTAACTTTGTACATATGAAAACCTCACATACATGAGGGGTTCACAGGCAGGTAAAATGAGTTATATATGCCATCCTGAGCTGAGGAATGGGATAGGGGCTTGGGGCTGTCAAAGGGAGGAGAGTAATTCACAGGACAATAAGAAGAATAGTTGCTTGGCAATTACATGTATGCCCTACCATACAGATGAGTCACTCAGATAAAATTTATCTCTAATAACTCTAATTCTGGGGAAGACCTCCAATTTAGATTCTTTGAGGTAGTTAAAACAGGGCAAAAGTCTCTTGACCCTACAGGGTCTCAGTTGCCTTCAGTTTAAAAGAGTCCACATACCAAAGTGGCACATATGGAAGAGACTTGCTTTGAACCCCTTTACTGCTTTCTCTGTCCCTAGCTTAACAGAATTTACCAGCCTATTGATTCCAACACTTTTCTACTATCTCTCACTTCCCCTGTTTTTCTCCTTTCCTGTCTTAAGATTCCATGGTTCATTATTAAAATCACTTATATTTTAAATGACTCCAGGTCCTTTCTGTCTCTTACCCTCTGTTCTATTGGCCCAGCAAAATGTAAAGCCTGGTTAAATCTACCTCTTAATTTAAAAAAATTTTTTTAAATTTACAAACAATAAAATTCACCTTTTATGGAGTATACTTCTAAGAATTTTGACAAATGTAAAGAGTTATGTTACTACCATTCTTTCAATTAGGATACAGAAGAGTTATATCATTCCAGGGGCGCCTGGGTGGCTCAGTTGGTTAAGTGGCTGACTTCGGCTCAGGTCATGATCTCGCAGTTCATGGGTTCGAGCCCCACATCAGGCCCTGTGCTGACAGCTAGCTCAGAGCCTGGAGCCTGCTTTGGATTCTGTGTCTCCTTCTCTCTGCACCTCCCATGCTCACACTCTGTCTCTCAAAAATAAATAAATGTTTAAAAAAAAATAAGAGTTCTATCATTACAGAAAATTTGCTGGTGCACCCCTAATGTCTGGTAACTGTTGATCCACTGTCCCTATAGTTTTAGATTTTTTAGATTGTCATGTAATTGGAATTATACAGTATATAACCTTTTCAGTCTGGCTTCTTTTACTCATTATCATGCATTTGAGGTTCATCTTTGTTGTTATATATATTGTTAAGGAAAAAAATAATAAAAAATCTTTTTCCTCTACTCATCTTTGGTTCATTGGCTGAGGCCCTCAAAATTAGACTGGCCAGTGAATAACAAAGGCATATTTTGGGATGGCATACTCTGGTAACCTTTAGCATCAGTAGTTCATTCATCTTCATTGCTGTATAGTATTCAGTTGTATTGTGAACCACAGTTTGTTTACCTGTTGGCGGATCTGTGGGTTGTTTCTAGTTTTTGGTGACTCTGAATAAAGCTACTTGAAACATTCATGTATGAAATTTTGTGTGAACCTTAGTTTTGCCATATTGTACATTTAATGTTATAAAGAACTATGAAATCATTTTCCAACATGTGTGTAGTAGTTTACATTCACAAGTAATATACAAGAATTCTTTGTTTGCAAGTACTTCGTATTTCTTTTTTGTTTTTAATTTTTACCATTCCAATAGGAGTTTAGTGGTTTTAATTTTTGTATTTTAATTTGTATGCTTCTTAAGATGAATGATTCAGAGCATTTTTTTCATGTGCTAATTTGTCTTCTTTATATCTTCTTCAGTGAATATTCAGATTTTGCCCACTTAAAATATGGTTGTTATTTTCTTGTTGAGTTTTTAGACTTTTTGTGTATTCTAAATGTAAGTCTTTTGGTAGATTTGTATCATTTGTTACATTTTCTCCTAGTCTATGGTCTCTCCTTTTATTCTCTTAACAATGTCTTTCACAGAACAAAAATTTTTCATTTTGTTGAAGTAAAATTTATTAATTTTTTATGGAGCATGTTTTTTGTATGATATATAAGAACTTACTGGCTAGAATGACATCACAAATATTTTTTCCCATGTTTCTTTGTAGAAGACTTTTAGTTTTATTTTTATGTTTTAGATTTAGTTCTGTGATTCATTTTTAGTTAAAATTTGTTTATGATTGTGAGACATTGTTAGAAACCCTTCGTTCATATGTCCAATTGTTTTAGTACCATTTGTTAAAAAAAAAAACAACTATTTTTCTTCATTTACTTGCCTTTACACCCTTATCAAAAGTCCATCAACATACCTGTGTGGATCTACATCTTTCTTCATTCGTAACTTTATCCAAGCTTGTGTGTAGATGATGACAAAAAGAGCAGCCCATTTACTGGTCTTACTTAAAAATCTTTTTTTTTTCTTAATTTTTTTTTAATGTTTTTTTTTTTTAATTTATTTCTAGGAGAGAGAGAGAGAGACAGCGTGAGCAGGGGAGGGTCAGAGAGAGAGGGAGTCACTGAAACAGGCTCCAGGCTCTGAGCTGGCAGTCAGCACAGAGCCCGACGCGGGGCTCGAACCCACAAACCGCGAGATCATGACCTAAGCGAAAGTCGGACGCTTAACCGACTAAGCCACCCAGGCGCCCCTAAAAATCTTTTTTAATGTGTATTTATTTTTTGAGAGACAAAGTGTGAGCAGGTGAGAAGCAGAGAGAGAGAGGGAGATACAGAATTGGAAGCAGGCTCCAGGCTCTGAGCTGTTAGCACAGAGCCCAACACAGGGCTTAAATTCATGAACTGTGAGATCATGACCTGAGCTGAAGTCAGATGCTCAACCTACTGAGCCATCCAGGCACCCCCAGTCTCACTTCAGATTCATGACCAATACCATTAGGAAGCTTTCAGACCTACCTGGCAATCTTTCCTTCCCCATAACACATTCCTATTCTCATGTTTTCTCAAATTTCCTGTGCCTCTTCTCCTTTTCTCACTTTTTGCTGATGTCCCAGCCCCAATTTCCCTGAGTAAATGGAAACAGTCAGAAGACAGTTTTCACAGAGTTCCATCCAACAACTTAACCAGTATCTATACATTTTCATTTCTTAGTTTTTTAGTACATCTTTCTTTCTTGGTTCTTCTCCTGCAGCCTTATAACTTGCCACCTTCCCCTTCCCATCGTGTTCTGCATCTTAGCAAATGGCAGTCTTGTAGTTGCCCAGTCCATGTAATTCATAATCATCTTTGATTTTGCTTCCCCTCCCCATTTTATATTGAATCCAATGACAAATATTGTCAGTTTCCCCTTCAGAATATATCTAGAATCTGATAACTTCTCACCAGTTTTTGAATTGTTAACATGTTGGTCCAAATTATCCCTGTCACTTGACTGAATTATTTTTATTACATTTATCTGATCTCCTTCCTTCTATTCATGTTCCCCTACAATCTATTTACAGAAAAGCCAGAGAGATCTGTTAAAATAGGTAAAAAATCTCACAGTAAAGGCACAGGTCTTTCTGGTGGCCTCCAAGACCCTATGAAATCTAGCTCTATGGTGTCACATTGATGTCAGCTCCTTGCACTCTTCATCACTTTGCTTCAGCCACCCTGGATGTGGTGTGTGTATATGTATATATTTTACTCTGCAAATATTCATTGAATGCCTAGGCTGTACCAGGCATTTGGGATATAACAAGTGAGAGTCCATACCTTCTTGGAGCTTACTTTAGAGGGAGGAGGCAGGTAACAAATACAGAAAATATTAAGTGGTATTAAAACAGAATAAGCATGCAAATATTTGTTTAGTGTAATATACAAGGGGTATATGCAGCCAGTCTTCTTCCTTATGAGAGGTTACAGTCTAATTGGAGAGCTAAAATATACACATGAGGGTTTTCATTTTACATTCCCTTATTATTTAAATAAATGAGTTCTTTTAATTTCCACATTCTTTTTTTTTTTTTTTCTGAGAAAGAGAGAGACAGCATGAACAGGGGAGGGTCAGAGAGAGAGGGAGACACAGAATCTGAAACAGGCTCCAGGCTCTGAGCTAACTGTCAGCACAGAGCCCAACACGAGGCTCGAACCCACGAACTGTGAGATCATGACCTGAGCCGAAGTCATACACTTAACTGACTGAGCCACCCAGGCACCCCCACATTTTTCCTTTTGTGCTGATTTTATTACTATCAGTCAAATCCTACCATCAATGAATTCTTTATTCCATTTCATCTGCTTTTGCCCAGGACTTCAGAAATTACCAGTATACATTGCCAGTAGTTCAAGGTTTGGTGGTTGATATGGAAGTTCGGAAAACCAGTATCAAAATTCCCAGCAACAGGTACAATGAGGTAAGATTTACCATGAAGGAATATTTTTTATTGTTAAATACATAAATGAAGATGAAAAATATTGATTATATATCATTTTTTAATTAATTGACAGTGAAATCAGGTCATAATACTGTATGACTTAGGTGAGCGATGAGGAATTTCATGACAGAAAATCAAGATTTTATATTTGTGATTTATTTAGTCATTAGATGTATCATTGATTGTGCTTTTGATACTGTGATAATTGGTGATAGATTTGCATTTTGATTAAGGCATAAAATTAACTTTATATCTGTAATGTTAGCGGTAGGATCTTTTCATTTTTCCCTCTTTTTCTAAGTATACCTTGTTTTTGACTATCCTTAATGTCTAACCATTAGCTCCCAAACTGAATTTTCATTAAGGTTTCAAAAGCAAATAAATGATTTCATCTTGAATTAAGCCGTGTCTTTTAATTAAAATGAAATATTGCATACGACACATACATTAACAGAATTATGTAAACAGTGTTCATTGCCTGTTTGTCATGTGAAGGCTTTCTTAAATTTAAAGGTTTCTTAAAGTCTGTTCTAAAATAGCCAGTAGTAATATCATTGCGGTTTAAAAGAAAAATCTTATTTTGAAACTTAGTGTGGTAAAATAATGGTTAAAATTTGTTGTTTTATTAGACAGGATGGAAACTCTCCAATTACTTCTTCCACTATTTCCTGGTATAATTTCCTCCTTCCCTCTCTTTCTTTTCATCTTTTTTTCATTCTTTCTTTTTTTCCCCTTCATTAAGCCATTTATTCACTTATTCATTTGTACATTTGATAAACATTTTGTACTTTCTCTTAGAATCATGTAAATATCTTACTGAATTTATTAACTTAGGGCTCACCATTACGAGAACAACCTTTGTGAAGATTTTACCTATGGCTTTTAGTGCAATAACTTTTTTCAGGACAGTAGAAAATAGTAGCTAGAATGTGTGCTTTATTTTTTTTTTTTCCTGTGATATAGTTAGAGGTTTTTATCTATTAGATAGACCTACCTTGGAATATCAAGCACTACTGACTAGATTAGGTAGTCAAATCTTTAAAAATTTTTTTCTTAATGTTTTATTTATTTCTGAGAGAGAGAAAGAGACAGCATGAGCAGGAGAGGGTCAGAGAGAAAGGGAGATACAGAATCTGAAACAGGCTCCAGGCTCTGAGCTGGCTGTCAGCACAGAGCCCGACCCGGGGCTCGAACCCACAAGCCGTGAGATCATGACCTGAGCCAAAGTCAGACGCTTAACTGACTGAGCCACCCAGGCACTCCAGTAGTCAAATCTTTAAAATAAACTCTTTTTATATCATTTGTGCCCTAAATAGTCTTAAAAGAGATGCGTTAAAAATGCATTTGTTTCTCAAATTTGAAGTTTTATTATTTCATAAATACTTATTAAATATATTCTGTGGTGTGAGATAGAAAGATGAGTAAGAACATTATGCTTGCCTTGTAGGAGCTTAGTGTCCAGAAGTAAGCTGATCAGATGTCATCCTCAAACAGATAATATACATTGCTATTTTTGGTATTTCCAAGATGTGTTTTGTGTTTGAGGATTGGATCTGTTTATTAAGGTACATCTGTAAAAAGCTGTGAGGCTCCCTAGTTTTTTCAGTACCAACTGAGGACATTTATGACAACTGCCATTTATATTATCTGTCTTTATCTGTCCCCTAGGTTTATGGTTGTGCAAGTTCAGATATCTTTTTTCAAAAACAGTAGCTGTATTTGTTGTTGTTTATTACAGTTCGTTTTCAATAATGTTTAACAACTATACATCACTTATTTTTCTTATCTGATTTAGCAGACTGACTTCCCTTCTAATTCAATTTTTATTTCACCGCATATTTTATGTTTATTTCAACTCAATCTCAATTTCTTCTCTCATAATTCTTGGACATTTGAATTATGATGTGCCTGACAATTCTGCTTCACTTTGTAGTTGAAAAGGTAATTTCTTGTGTTTTATTTAATTTACTCACGATAGTATTCCATTTTTCCTCTTATTTCTTTTTCTTTGTTGATACCCATAGTCTTCCTTATTCTCTCAATTATGTTCTCATTTGCTCCAAAGCCTTTGTACAAGCTATTTCCTTATTGATGCATACTTTCTTCCCATTCATTACCTATCTAACTCTTATTCACTTTTCAGGAATCAGCTTAGATGACATTTCCTCAGATAAGCTTTCAGTTAGCTCCCAACTGGAGTAATTCTCCCTGTTATAAACATCTTAGATTCTACACTGTGTGTGTAATACTCAGTATATTTGTAATTGAACCTTTTTCAGTATGTGTTTTCTCTACCAGACTTTCATTTCCATGTGGAACTGTCTTATTTACCACTGTATCATTAGTGGACTGCCTGGTAAAGAGTAATTGTACAAAAAATATCTTTTAAAAGAAACCAAAAAATATCTATTGAATGAAGACATGAAACAAAACTAATATAGGTAAAACAATACAAAAATAAGTACTGAAACTTAATACAGTTTTACTAAAGGTTTAGAGAAAGGAGAGCTCTGGTAAATGCAGCAGTCGGAAATGTTCCTTTATTTCCAGTTGATCCTGAATCCTTAACAGCCAGAGCAGCATGTTCCATGTAGGACATGTTTATAAATATTCATGTAAATGTCTTACAAGTGTAAATGAATGAAAGATTTAAACTGGACAATGAATGTTATTTAGGCACTAGGAAGAGAAGGGTGGAAAATAACAAGTGAAAAGGGTGATAGATGCCTGCAGAAAATAAGGCAGGAAAGCCCCAGGGATGGACATGTCTTGAAAAGAGGATAGAAGACAACAGCCTGCCCAGTGAAGAAGAGGCTAGGAGATAAAGTTGTGCAAAGACACTGCTGGGATTTCAAGTTTTCAGAAACAAGGCAGAGGAATCTAGATTTTAATATTGTAATCTGTAAATAGATATTATAGATTCTAAAGCAGAGAAGTGACTTAATTAAAGTGAGTTTTAGAAAAATGAGCTTTGGCTGCTATATGTAAAAATATGTAGAGAGGGGACCACTAAGGAAAGACTTTAAGCTTAGAAAACTACAGGGCGCTAGCATGGCTCAGTCGGTTAAACAGACCTAACCGAACCTGAGTTCAGCTCAGGTCATGAGCTCATGAGCTCATGATGAACTCATGATCCCATGAGTTTGAGCCCTGTATCAGGCTGTGTGCTGACAGCTTAGGGCTTGGAGCCTGCTTCAGATTCTGTGCCCCTCTTGCTCTGCCCCTCCCCCACTCATGCTTGGCTCGCTTTCTCTCTCTCTCCCTCTTTCAAGAGTAACTAAACATTTAAAAAAAATTTTAAAAAGCTGAAAGATAGTACCTCTGGCATCATGGAAAATGGAATAAATGAAGTAGTCTTTCTATATAAATTCTCTAATCTCATCAAGGCCATTCAAGCTCTCTGTTGGTTTAGGTAACTGCTCATGTTCTAATGATAAGATTTTTCTGACTATTGTGTTAACTAACATTTATTGTTAGTTATATTAACATTATAACATTTAGTGAAGGTATATTCTGTAGCATGCACTATGTATTTTTACACTATTTCTGTGAAATTAGTATGTTCAAGTCCTTTTAATAGATGCAGATATTAAGCCATAGTGCTAGGAAGTGATAGTACCAGAATCAAAACCAGGTGGTCTGATTCCACTGTCCTCACCTTTAGCCACTATATTAAACTGATTTTTATCGACATCAATTTAATAATTATCAATATGACTTTAGGGCTGATTTTAAGGTCTTTACTGAGGCAATCAAATTTAAATAAGACCATTAGAATGAGCTGTAATCCAGTATAACTGATGTTCTTTTAAGAAGGGGAAGTTTGGACACAGACACTCATAAAGATGATGTAGAGAGACAAGGAGAAAATGATCACCTACAAGTCAAGGAGAGAGGCCCAGAACAACTCCTCCCTTTCCATAAGCCCTCAAGTGGAACCAATTCTGCCAACACCTTGATTTTGGACTTCCAGCCTCCAGAACTGTAGGACAATAAATTTCTATTGTTTAAGCCATCCAGTTTATGGTACATTGTTATAGCAGCTCTGCCACACTAACACATTGGTTTGCTTTAAATAGCTAAATGTCAAAACCAAGTAAGTAAAACAAGAAAGAAAAACGGCAATGGGACAGAGAAGATGGGCTCTGTGATTGCCCTACTTTACTATATGGTGTTTCCAGGCCATAGTTCAGGTAAGAGAAACCCAAACTAAACCTAGAGGTTTCCCTCAGTTGAAGAGACAGAGTTGAGAATGTGAGGAGGTCATGATGGCTTGAGTTTGCAAAACAGATTACTGGAAATAAAAGAACTCTGGAAATATGCAGGTGGTTCCCATTGTTTCTTCAGCTGACTAGTAAATCAGTGTGTGTATGTGAGAAAAGCACTGGAAAGATACAGGTAAAACAGTTCTCACAGGGCCAGGCATAATTTGTATTCTTACCAGCTAGAGTGAACTAGAGGCACATTATCCCTACTGACCCAGGTTATTCATAAATTCAGGCTGCTTCAATCCTACCTATCAAGCTTAAAAGAAAACCTTAACAGTATCAAGACATGAGCATGTTACGGACATACATAGAAAATATAAAAAAGAACCAAATCAGACTTCAAGAAACAAAAATGACAATGAAATGAAAAATAAGTGGCATGAAAATAATGGCAGAAGACACTGATGAAGAAGTGAAATGAAGAAGAAATTAGCAAACTTAAAAACACAGCAATAGAAACTATCCAAAAAGAAATACAAAGAGAAAGGACTGAAAAATTAAATGAACAGCACATGATTGAGCCATGGGATGTTAGTCAGCCTACCTCTATAATTGAAGTCACCAAAGGAGAGGAAAGGTGAATAAAAATTTTATAAACTTAATGAGAAGTATAAATTCATATATTCAAGAAGCTCAATGAGTTTCAGTTGCAGAAAACATGATGAAAACTACATTAAGGAATGTTTTAATCATCTTAATCAAATTGCTTAA